ATGAGGCCCGGGAGTTGGAGATGTTAGGTTATCCTAGCAGAAGTTACTTTCACCGCAGGTTGTGCAAATCTGTCGATCAAAGTGATGCACTTTGCTTTAACAGTTTTAAGGAGATGGAAAGGGAATTTGGGGATTATATTAGTACACTGTACCAAAAACCAGTGTTATGGGCTGGGGTGGTTGCTAAACCATATGATGGAATGTTAGAACCAGATTTGGAGGGTTGGCTAAAGGGTTTTAACCCGAGAAGTGTAGTATATTGTGCGCTTGGCAGTGAAAGTGTGTTGGAGTCTTGGAGAAGGACCAATTTCAGGAACTTGCCCTCGGTCTTGAACTCACAAGTAAGACCATTAGCTACCATGTACCTTCCTTTAACAAATAAGTCTTGTATAAGGTAGGTATACGTAAATTTTATTGTAAGACGGTCAGTTTTAGGGTAATTTTAACTATTTTTATGGTAACTTTAATTCCTTAAAGGGTAATTTTTTATTTATCATAGGTTTGAATTTCATATTAATGTGTAATTTCTTATATATATATGATTACATACTATAAAGGCCAATATGATTAGTCTAATACAGTATAAGTTTCTTGTAAAATAAAATTTATTATCGGAAAAATAATAATTTTTGTAGTATAAAGGGTAACTTTAAATACTTTTAAGATAACTTTAATCCGTCTTACAATAAATAAACATACACCCGCCTTTTTGGAGAATTTGTGTTGTTCTTTTATTATTATCGACTACAATAAGAAACAAATGGTAGGTTTTCCCAAGGAAATATTCACTCGTTCTCTAGGAAGATTTAATTGGCAAATATTTACTAAATCATCTAAAATTACCTAAGCAACAAGTACCATGAATTGCTTTGTTAAAATTATCATTTTATTTTAGCTAATTTTTGTTACTATTTTTTTTTTTTTTGTTTTTTTTTTAAGTATTAATTGTACATAATTTTAGGCAAATTAATTGATTTAAATATAAAATGAGTTAAGGGTGTAGTTGGAGTATTAATTTTTTTTAAACAAAAGTCAACATTTTATTGAAAAATAAAGGATGTGAGAGGAAAATAATATTTTAAAAGTAGTAGCGAAGTTGAGTGGGCGCCATGAGAAGAAAGAGAAATAAAATTTTGAATGAGGTACATTGCAAAAAAAAAGTGTAACAGTAAAATAAAAGTGTGTAACACTTGAACAATACGGAGAGAGTACAAATTCCCAAGCTTATTAAGATCGAATTTTCTAATTAATACTTTTACTTAATAATCAGGTTTGCCATTTCTGGCCGTCCTTAAACTTCCTAAAGGGTGTGAGAACATGGAATTGGCATTACCTAAGGGATTCATCGAAAGAACAAAGAAAAGAGGAAGCATACGTAGTGATTGGGTGAAACAACAATTGATCTTGAAGCATCCTTCAGTAGGATGCTTCGTAACTCAATGTGGAGCTGGATCCCTAACGGAAGCGCTAGTAACTCACTGCCAATTGGTGTTGTTGCCTCATAGATGTGATCAATTTATCAATGAGGTTGATGGCTGCACATTTAAAAGTTGGTGTCGAAATCGTGAAAAGAGAGGAAGATGGCTTCTTTACCAAAGAGGATGTTTGTAAGGCAATCCTGGCAGTGATGGAGCTCGAAAGTGAAGGAGTAGGGAAAGTGGTACGGGCGAACCATGAAAAATGGAAAGATTTCTTGTTAAAGGATGAACTTGAGGACTCATATATCAATGATTTGGTGGGTAATTTGCAAGATCTAATGGGATATGATTGAAAAGCTATTTTATGGTGTGCTTGTTTAATTTGACATAATACTTAAATAAGAGGGGTATATATGTGAAGTTGTGAGTTGTAATTTGGATACAATATTTTTGTTTGGCTTTTAATCTCAAATTCTAATCTATATCTATGCTACTCCCTCCGTTGTTTTAAGTGTAACACTTTGATCAACACATAGTTTTATGTGATTTAATTTACTTTATGACTTCAATATAATAAGATATAACTAAGGTAACATAGTTGGAGTATTTAAAAACTATTCTTTTATGCATGTAATGTGTGCATAATATTTAGAATGCATATATACAACATTAATTCGGTGCATTATAAGTTATGGATAAGTACCCCTTCTTATTTTTTATCTTGAATAACTAATTAATATGTTAAAATATTTGTTAAAATAATGTTATACCAATTCAATTCTCATTTTCCTTAAACTTCAAAATCATAACATTTTTACTTTCATTTAATTTATGTCAATTTTACATTGAAAGGGAAAGATATAATTACTTTGTATGAACTTTACTTATTACTCCGATCCTTTCATTTTATAATAATTACAACACTTTTTTTTTCCACCCGTTTCATAATTGCAACACTTATTTATTAGAGCCCACTACTATTTCATTATTTCTCTTTAATTTCCTACCAACCCCAATTTTCCTATTTTTTGTCATTATTTTTACTACCTACTACAATTAAAAATATCCCCACTAATTATACTTTATACGAAGTAATATAAGATTCTCCCTTTGATCCCTACCCTATATACTTTTCCTAAAACTTTTTACCCTCCCTAATTTGATATTATGAAATAAGGGGATTAGTAATTTGAAATAAAATAGCTTAAATTACAATAAGAATTTAAGCAAAAATTAAGACAATTATAATAATTACTTGTATCAATTAATAAAATGTTCAACTTGTGCATTACACTGGATAAACACTATATATATCTTAAATGAAGTAAATCATTTTTTTTGTCATTCCTCTACAGTTTAGACCAACATCACGAGTAAATGTTATTGAATAATTCTTTTTTTAAAAAACGTAATTAATATATACATTTATAACTGTTGTATTAATAAAATGCACTATATTACGAATTATTAAATATTAGGAAAAATTTATTTTAATAATTTCAACTTTGCCTAATTTACTTTAAATAATCCCAATTTTTAATTTTTCTGCAATAATTCCAACTTTCACCTGCGTTTTCTTCTAACTATCCCAAACCGGCCAACTAAAATCAACGACTTGTTATTCTAGGTTGTCTGACATGTGTTAGGTCGTGATTGGTCCAAAAAAATAAAAAAAATCAAAAGAAAAAAATAAAATTCAAGCCACCAGCCCATAACCTCCGGCTATATGTGGCCACCCCCTTCCCATCCACACCCACAAAACCACCTCCCTCCTCTATCGCACCACCGAAAACATCCCTTTTCCCCAACCTCACCCCGAATTGAAACCGCCCCCTCCTTTGATGTGGATTTAAACCCCTTAGCTTAATAAAGAATCTAAAATTACACAAGTAACACAAGACTTCCGAATTTCCTAAGAAAATCGAACAATTTAAGAATAACGAACCGGATATGACTTTGATAACGACTACTCCTGGAACGAATTCAATGCCTATTCAAACTACCTAGACCACTCTTGGAACTAAGTATTTTGATGAACAGAACTTAGACTACTCCTAGAACTACGAATTGAACGTTTTAATTATCAAAACAGCTCCTTGAATTGAAAACTAGCAAAGAAAAGTTTAAACAAAATTAACAATTTGTATTGAAATGAATCTGATTTTCTATATCTATCTAAAACCACGAAAATTACCCCTATTTATAGACATAGGAGGCAACTAATTCAACTCCTACAAGTATTAGGACAAACCCCTAACCTTGTTCTCCAAGCATCCTAACTAGAGTAGAAAAACTACTTCTAACTAGAATAGGAATACTTATCCTAATCAAGCTCTAATTAACTAACTAAAAACTTTCCTAATAACCTTAGGAAGTTTATAGCAACTAAATAACAGAAATTTAATCTTATCCTAAGTGCTTAAACTAAGAAAAACCCTTTTAAATGAAAGGTAAAAACTTGCAAGCAAAACTCTATAAATAAACTAAGTATAAAAAATCATTCTTTTCATATCGTCGCACCACTCCCCACACGCGCTACCCAAGGTGACACGCGCCACACCAGCGTGTAGCTGGGCTCAGTCCGGTGCCAGGAAGACGGCGCGTGGGCCCCATCTCGGCGCGTGGCCACCGTGATCCTCGCCGGAAGTGAACTGCTCCATTTCTTCTTCATTGCAAATCATGCTTCCTTCTTTCCCTATTGAACTAGTAGACCTTTCCTTGTTTATTTCTTTGTTTGGGCAGCCCATAATGAAGCTATTTGGACCTTCTAAAAGTGTCTTGGACCCTTCAAAAGAATTAGCCTCTTGATTCACATCATCCTTACCCGACCCTCGAAACAACCCATAAGCAAACTCCATCTCGTTGTCGAAACCGCCACCCCTATACCACCGTTCGTTAACCAAAACCCCTACCCCGGAACCGTCCCACTCCCCTCCCTCCTTCCTCCCCCCACCCCCGACACCACCCAAAACCAAAAACCCCCATTTTCCCTCTCCTCCATATGCCACAAAACGCTAATAAAATTGGGTTGAAGGGAAAGTTTCCGGTGTGGGGGAAAGGGAGAGAGGTCGAAAAATGTGGAGTTGGGGAAGGAGATGGGGGTTCCAGGGTGGGGATGGCCGGTTGGGGAAGTGGCCACCAGCGTTGGTGGAGGGTGTTTTTTTTTTCCTTTTTTTAAATTTAATTTACTTTATATTTTATTTTTATTTTTTTTAATTACAACAATTCCTATAATTAACTGTTATGTTTTTTTTTTTTTTAATATTATTGCAAATTTTCTTAAATGGAAATACTTTATACTACTCCTATATATTTTATCTCTCTCCTTACATGATTTGCATTTATACTTTAATACTTCTCTTTTTTTCATATCATTTCCTTTTGCATAAATAATTATTCATCCACTATCGCTTTTTTTTATATATATATATATATATATTTTTAATTCCAAACAAACCCCACTAAACAATATTTTAACAAATTTAAATCAATTGCATAAAACTCTGTATGATCAAAATATTGCAATAAATGAAAAAAATATAAGAATATATATATAAAAAATAATTTGGGAGAAAAAGCATATGATAAAAAGTTATTTTATGGATTTATCGTGCTTGTATAGATGATGTTGAAAACTGTAAGAAACTACAATTTCCGATAGCTTGTTTATTGTACAGTAGTTCTTTAAAAATAAAAAACTGAAAATTGAAAAGTCGTAACAATAACGATGAATCTCAAATTAAAGCAAATAGCCAATTATAGGCCTATAAATTATATTTGACATCATGAAATAGGAGAAGCAAATTGAAGAAAGTCGGGGTCAGATTGCAAAACAGACCCTTGTTGCTCATCTAGTATTAGCCATGCTTCAATTCCATGATCTAATGTCTCTATTAAAGGAATGAGATTCTTAAATGAGGAGCTGAGTCTACCTCCGGTAAAAGCGACCCAAACCGGCAACCCGAATCCAAAATCTGGTTTCATATCAAGTTTACTCCAACTAGTGAACTTATATGTTGTTATGCTATCATTTTGATCCTTTAATTTCTTCTTGTAATTACCCATAACTTGAGCCCCTCCCTCTCCTTGAAACTTGCTTAGAAACTCCGCATCCTTGAACGGTGCTAGCCCGTTTCGGATCCGAGTAACCAAGTCTGGGAGCTCTATATTTCTTTGGCTAGCTTCATTTTCGCCTTCAGAGTGTGCAATAGCATCAATTATCAAATTTCCGAAGCATGCTGATGATAGCGGGGGATTGGTGCGCGGGCGCATGTTTACTGCATGGCTGATAGCTGAGGAACCTGTTTGGAGTATAACAATTACGCAAACTCAATCACACTAGGTTTAGCGTAAAATTAAGACCAATAATAATGTCTTTAAATTTATTACGGACTCGTAAGAAGAAAAATAAGTAAGGATGAGTTCTCTTTACCTTAAAAATACTTTTTAAATAAGTTTAATCAAGTAAATAAGTTTCAATACCTTTAATTAGTTCTATCTTATCAATTCTAACATATATACATTATTGAATACTTATTTTTAATAATAAAAAATTAAATACCATACATTATATACTAACAAAGTAACAATCATAGTTAAGGTGAAGAGAATAGACCCTAATTTATGAGGGAGCCCCAGTTTCTCATCATGAGGAACACTTTTGTTCCTCATAATGGCATTTTGGAAAATAATGTGATGTTTTTCACTAGTGGGGACCGCCCGTCAATTTTGGGTGGACCTCTCTGCTCTTGACACGTACCCCATGAGGAACAGGGAATTACTCCTAATTTATTAAGGAAGTATTTTTAATAGAGACGTTAGATCATGGAATTGAAGCATGGCTAATACTTATTAGATAATATACTTACAGATAGATGGAACTGAATTACACAAGGGAGCATTAGCAGTAGTAGCCACCGCCACCATGGCATGCTTCCAAATGAATCCAGACACAACCTCAACGCGGGTAGGATTAGGTACATGTTCACTTATAGCCAGAGCTTGTAAAGCATTAATTGCTTGAGGGGTAAACAAAAATGATCGGACAATGCAGCCACCACGACCCGTTTTAAGGGCGTCATCTGGAGGCTTAAGTGTTCTAGGCTTCATTCCTGAGGGTAGGATCAAGTCACACGGAGGAAAAAGAGAGATGGCGGTAGCAAATTCGGAAGATGTGACATTCGCTTTTAGCCCTGTCGCAATGGCAGCCCAATTCTTGAGGAAATTTCCCCATGAAACCGCGTCACAGACCTTGTGAAGCCATTGGCTACCAATAGCAAACCCACCACAATTGAAAATACTCACTTGTATTGCTAGTGGCACAAGTTCTGTGACCGTCGTCGTTTCATGCCTATTATTATTATTATTGCCAATTGTTTGATCATCATATATAGTTTCAGATAGGAAGCGACCAATCAAATCAACGCGGTTGGAAGCCTCTAGGAAGGTACTGAGGGAGCAATTGAGAACTCGAGTTTCGACAAAGGATATTCCTTTGTCGTTGCAATCGATTGATGATTCGTCCATGGTAAGCCTACCAGCAAGAGGGTAGAATAAAGAGAGAGTTTTAGAGAGTGAATCTTTTAAATATGATGTCATTTTTTGATCATTTTTTGTACCATTTTCGAGCGGAGGAGGAGGGTTATAGAAGAGGACATGGGGTACATAAGTGAAATGGAAGAATTGATCAAGAAGAGAAAGCTTGAATGTTTTGAGTTGTGAAGGTGTAGGAGTTGATGGTTTGATAATTTCGGTTGAGATTGTTTCCATTTCTAACTCCATTTCCATCCAATATTGCGATGTCCAATGCTTGCCCCCGGCCCTAACCTTATAAGCTTGAAGAAAATTATTCCCTCCGATTTTTTATATGCATCACTTATGAATGCACAAAGTTTTATGAGATTAATATATTATTGTGAATGGATGAATAATTGATTATAGTAAAACTAAAATGGAGACCATAAAAAAAGAAAGTATGTGAGAGAGAGTAGATTTATTTACTATTTAAGTAGGGACCATGAGAGAAAAAAATGATAAAATAATTTAAGTTAGGTTTAAAATAAAAGAGTGAAATGATAAATTATAGTATAATGTTACCAAATAAAGAAGTTATGCATTTAAAATAAATATACCCATATTAGGAAAATAATGTATTTTATAAAAAATAGAGGGAGTAATATTGTGCAATGTTGATTCTCGAAAAAACTTGTTAATAGGTATCTAATATTCTGTTGAGCATATGAGCAAACCTACATGTAAGTGAAATAGTTGTTCTATATTAAAAGAGTGTAAGAGTGTTGGAAAGTGCGTGGATCCCACATTGAAGAAACAAGAAAGTTGTATCCACTTTATAAGGCTAAGAGGCTTTGAGGTGGACACTCATGACGGGTTCGGCCCAAACCTGTTTTGGGTACCTACTTATTATGCACTCGCAAACTTAAAAGCCCCGTATTGTACCCCATGAGTATAATTTTGCGAGATTTTTAAGCAATTCTGCTTAGCATACAATATTCATGCTTGGGGTGGAATCAAACCCCATTAGTGGCACTTTAGGGTGAGATTTCCTTACCCTTCCTTCCACTTCTAAAGTGTCTAACCTGCTATTTCGTGTCAGAAGGACCCGTGAGAGGTTCCGGCCTGATAGAGTTCTTCTCTGTAATGTGTATGTGTATATATATATATATATATATATATATATATATATGTATATTCCATACTTTTTTCTCTAACCAACAAATAAAGCAACAAAGACAGAACGAATCAATCCACAAAAAAGCGTATGACTCTAATCATGCTTTATACTCTGACCCCTAAATGACAATGCTTTGTGTTTTGTAAAAAAGTATAAAAATACGTTAGGCAACTTTCATTAATCTAGATTTATGCGCTTTAAGTGGTGCAAATATAAAGCAAGCAAGATTTAGATGCATAAAGTATAGTCCACGATGAAATATAATACTTCGTAATGTTAATTACGGAGTAAAAAGAATTTTATGCAACACTCTTGTATACTAGTCAGTAATTTTCAAAAAGGTACTATCTAATAAAATCCAAAACTATCTAATAAAATCCAAATTTTGTGAGAAAGTATCTAATAAAAAAATGTTGTGAGAAACTACCTAATAAATAGTAAAATGTTGTAAAAGACTATCTTTGGCCGAATTTCTACCATTAACCAATTTTCCAGCGGCGTTGACCCATCACAAAACACCCCCCAAAACTACCCTCTTTGGTGTTTGATGGTGTTCCGGCTTGGTGGAGGTAGTTTCAAGCGGGGTGTGTTGGTTTTGGCCAGAGATGAAAGCAGGTGGTTTCTGGGGTGTTTTGCGGTGGGTCAACGTCGAAAAATTAGGTCAATGGTGGAAATCCGGCCAAAGTAGTCTATTTACAACATTTTACCTTTTATTAGTCAAGTAGTTTCTTACAAAAAAAATCTATTAGGCAGTTTCTCAGAAATTTTAGGTTTTATTAGTCTATTTTCAACAAAAATCCTTTCAAAAATTAATTTAATTATTAATTAGTTGAATATAACTATTTAATATAAAATGCAAAAATATGTATAACAAAAATCTATGTTTTTTATACTTACAACACGCTTTTTTGGCACGTTATTTGAGAAAATTAGACTAGATAAATGAATGAATTATGCAATAAATTTAAACTGTAGTGACTTATTACTTTCTTTTCATTGATGGTAAAATTTTATTAAGTAATTTGTCCGTTTACCTAGCTATACCTTCATTAAACTGCACGCGCAAACTAGTGTATTGCAAATAATATATATATATATATATATATATATATATATATATATATATATATATATATATATATATATATATATATATATATATATACTCTCCGTGAGAGGTTCCGGCCTGATAGAGTTCTTCTCTGTAATGTGTATGTGTATATATATATATATGTATATTCCATACTTTTTTCTCTAACCAACAAATAAAGCAACAAAGACAGAACGAATCAATCCACAAAAAAGCGTATGACTCTAATCATGCTTTATACTCTGAACCCTAAATGACAATGCTTTGTGTTTTGTAAAAAAGTATAAAAATACGTTAGGCAACTTTCATTAATCTAGATTTATGCGCTTTAAGTGGTGCAAATATAAAGCAAGCAAGATTTAGATGCATAAAGTATAGTCCACGATGAAATATAATACTTCGTAATGTTAATTACGGAGTAAAAAGAATTTTATGCAACACTCTTGTATACTAGTCAGTAATTTTCAAAAAGGTACTATCTAATAAAATCCAAAACTATCTAATAAAATCCAAATTTTGTGAGAAAGTATCTAATAAAAAAATGTTGTGAGAAACTACCTAATAAATAGTAAAATGTTGTAAAAGACTACCTTTGGCCGAATTTCTACCATTAACCAATTTTCCAGCGGCGTTGACCCATCACAAAACACCCCCCAAAACTACCCTCTTTGGTGTTTGATGGTGTTCCGGCTTGGTGGAGGTAGTTTCAAGCGGGGTGTGTTGGTTTTGGCCAGAGATGAAAGCAGGTGGTTTCTGGGGTGTTTTGCGGTGGGTCAACGTCGAAAAATTAGGTCAATGGTGGAAATCCGGCCAAAGTAGTCTATTTACAACATTTTACCTTTTATTAGTCAAGTAGTTTCTTACAAAAAAAATCTATTAGGCAGTTTCTCAGAAATTTTAGGTTTTATTAGTCTATTTTCAACAAAAATCCTTTCAAAAATTAATTTAATTATTAATTAGTTGAATATAACTATTTAATATAAAATGCAAAAATATGTATAACAAAAATCTACTTTCTCTGTTTTTTATACTTACAACACGCTTTTTTGGCACGTTATTTGAGAAAATTAGACTAGATAAATGAATGAATTATGCTATAAATTTAAATTGTAGTGGCTTATTACTTTCTTTTCATTGATGGTAAAATTTTATTAAGTAATTTGTCCGTTTACCTAGCTATACCTTCATTAAACTGCACGCGCAAACTAGTGTATTGCAAATAATATATATATACATATATATATATATATATATATATATATATACTCTCCGTGAGAGGTTCCGGCCTGATAGAATTCTTCTCTGCAATGTGTATGTGTATATATATATATATATGTATATTCCATACTTTTTTCTCTAACCAACAAATAAAGCAACAAAGACAGAACGAATCAATCCACAAAAAAGCGTATGACTCTAATCATGCTTTATACTCTGACCCCTAAATGACAATGCTTTGTGTTTTGTAAAAAAGTATAAAAATACGTTAGGCAACTTTCATTAATCTAGATTTATGCGCTTTAAGTGGTGCAAATATAAAGCAAGCAAGATTTAGATGCATAAAGTATAGTCCACGATGAAATATAATACTTCGTAATGTTAATTACAGAGTAAAAAGAATTTTATGCAACACTCTTGTATACTAGTCAGTAATTTTCAAAAAGGTACTATCTAATAAAATCCAAAACTATCTAATAAAATCCAAATTTTGTGAGAAAGTATCTAATAAAAAAATGTTGTGAGAAACTACCTAATAAATAGTAAAATGTTGTAAAAGACTACCTTTGGCCGAATTTCTACCATTAACCAATTTTCCAGCGGCGTTGACCCATCACAAAACACCCCCCAAAACTACCCTCTTTGGTGTTTGATGGTGTTCCGGCTTGGTGGAGGTAGTTTCAAGCGGGGTGTGTTGGTTTTGGCCAGAGATGAAAGCAGGTGGTTTCTGGGGTGTTTTGCGGTGGGTCAACGTCGAAAAATTAGGTCAATGGTGGAAATCCGGCCAAAGTAGTCTATTTACAACATTTTACCTTTTATTAGTCAAGTAGTTTCTTACAAAAAAAATCTATTAGGCAGTTTCTCAGAAATTTTAGGTTTTATTAGTCTATTTTCAACAAAAATCCTTTCAAAAATTAATTTAATTATTAATTAGTTGAATATAACTATTTAATATAAAATGCAAAAATATGTATAACAAAAATCTATGTTTTTTATACTTACAACACGCTTTTTTGGCACGTTATTTGAGAAAATTAGACTAGATAAATGAATGAATTATGCAATAAATTTAAACTGTAGTGACTTATTACTTTCTTTTCATTGATGGTAAAATTTTATTAAGTAATTTGTCCGTTTACCTAGCTATACCTTCATTAAACTGCACGCGCAAACTAGTGTATTGCAAATAATATATATATATATATATATATATATATATATATATATATATATATATATATATATATATATATATATATATATATATATATATATATATATATATATATATATATATATATATACTCTCCGTGAGAGGTTCCGGCCTGATAGAGTTCTTCTCTGTAATGTGTATGTGTATATATATATATATATGTATATTCCATACTTTTTTCTCTAACCAACAAATAAAGCAACAAAGACAGAACGAATCAATCCACAAAAAAGCGTATGACTCTAATCATGCTTTATACTCTGAACCCTAAATGACAATGCTTTGTGTTTTGTAAAAAAGTATAAAAATACGTTAGGCAACTTTCATTAATCTAGATTTATGCGCTTTAAGTGGTGCAAATATAAAGCAAGCAAGATTTAGATGCATAAAGTATAGTCCACGATGAAATATAATACTTCGTAATGTTAATTACGGAGTAAAAAGAATTTTATGCAACACTCTTGTATACTAGTCAGTAATTTTCAAAAAGGTACTATCTAATAAAATCCAAAACTATCTAATAAAATCCAAATTTTGTGAGAAAGTATCTAATAAAAAAATGTTGTGAGAAACTACCTAATAAATAGTAAAATGTTGTAAAAGACTACCTTTGGCCGAATTTCTACCATTAACCAATTTTCCAGCGGCGTTGACCCATCACAAAACACCCCCCAAAACTACCCTCTTTGGTGTTTGATGGTGTTCCGGCTTGGTGGAGGTAGTTTCAAGCGGGGTGTGTTGGTTTTGGCCAGAGATGAAAGCAGGTGGTTTCTGGGGTGTTTTGCGGTGGGTCAACGTCGAAAAATTAGGTCAATGGTGGAAATCCGGCCAAAGTAGTCTATTTACAACATTTTACCTTTTATTAGTCAAGTAGTTTCTTACAAAAAAAATCTATTAGGCAGTTTCTCAGAAATTTTAGGTTTTATTAGTCTATTTTCAACAAAAATCCTTTCAAAAATTAATTTAATTATTAATTAGTTGAATATAACTATTTAATATAAAATGCAAAAATATGTATAACAAAAATCTACTTTCTCTGTTTTTTATACTTACAACACGCTTTTTTGGCACGTTATTTGAGAAAATTAGCTAGATAAATGAATGAATTATGCTATAAATTTAAACTGTAGTGACTTATTACTTTCTTTTCATTGATGGTAAAATTTAATTAAGTAATTTGTCCGTTTATATATATATATATATATATACTCTTGTTCTTTCTTTACACTTTGAATATCATATTCTGCTAGCATACAAAGGAAAGCAATTTATCATTTTGGTGATCAATCAAAGCAAAGCAAAACAAATGGATTACTAATGTATCGTTGCTACTATAGGATATTAGCACATTTTTCATAAGAACAAATTAAAGATGAGAACTACTCAATAGCAATCCTGCAAAGTAAACAAACTCTATATGCCGCTTTGTTCGTGGAATAGGCTGCCTACTACTTCCTCTGTTTTTAAATACTTGTTTTATTTCTCCATGCGCGGAGTTTTAGGAGAAATTGGAGAAAGTAATAAAACAGGGAGGTAGTGGGGTAGGTGAAGAATAAAAAATTGTAAAAAGCAAAAGTAGTTGAGAGAATTTGAGAAGAGAGAATATAAAATTTGTAAAATATTATTTATGTTGGGTCCACTAGTTGAGAGAAATGAATTAAATATTGTAAAAGCTTTCCAAAAAAGGAAATGGAGCAAGTATTCAAAAACGACCGAAAATAAAAAGTAGAGCAAGTATTTAAAAACGGAGGAAGTAGCAGCCATCTAGCTCAGAGACATATTATCTCTTCTAATTCTTGTATCTTCTGCCCTGGTATCCCTGAAACAACTACTCATGTGCTCATGGATTGTCCTAAAGACACTTCAACTTGGCTTTCTCTAAACCTCATCCAATCTTGTGTCCACCCCTTCGTTTTTTAGTGTCCCACAGAAGTGTGCGTGGAGTTTTAGGCAAAAGGGTAAAATAATATATAAGTGGGTATGGCTATAATAAAAAATTTGGAAAAATAAAAGAGAGAAATATAAATGTGGGACCACTAGGTATAATGTGTAAGGGAGAAACATTATAAAATGATAGTGGGGTCAAAGGAAAGAGAAAGAAATAATATATAATGTAAGTGGGGTTTCCATATTTGTTAATGGGACACTTTAAAAAAAAAACACTGCGTTTTTAGGTGGTAGGACACTTAAAAAACGGAAAAATTATATTTTTATGGAATTTTAGGAAATATTTCGACAACAACAAAACCAGAAAGCCACAGGAAACATTTTTAAGAGAAATTTCATGGTTAATTAGAAGAGAAATATTATTATAAAAAAAATATACATACGAGTAAAATGTAACAAAAAATAAGGCATATGGTTCCCGTCAAAAAAAAAAAAAAAAAAAGGGCATATGGTTCCCGTAAAGTAAAAAAAAAAAAAAAAAAAAAAAAAAAAAAAAAAAAAAACCAGGCAAATGGTAAGTAATTTATGTTATAACTGAAAGTATTTTTATTCAAATTATAAGCACTTAATACCCCCAAATACATAAAGCGAAAAAGTTGGGAGCCTCAATTTTGAAATAAGGTCAAGAAATCAAGGAAGCAAATACAAGGAATTCCGCACTAGTTTGTAAGACGGACATCTCTTGCTTGTCTATTATCAACCAAATTTCAATCCCACCACAATCAGGAATCTCGATCATTGTAATGAGATTTTTAAACAATGAGCTTAATTTACCACCAGTAAATCCAATCCAAACAGGCATCCCTATAAATCCAAAGTTTGGTAACACATCGAGTTTACTCCAGCTAGTGAACTTGTATGTGTTTATATTTTTATCTTTGCTAATATCTACTACCTTCTGCTTGTGCTGGCGCATGGCTTTGGCCCCTTTCTCGCCTTTAAACTTGCTTAAGAACTCGGGATCCTTTGCTTCTGATAATCCCTTTCGAGTTTCAGCAACCAGATCCTTTAGATCCACAGCTGATATAGGCTGATTCTCCTCTTTGTAGGATGCATATGCATGAATTATCAAATTTCCAATTGCCGTTGATGGTATTGGTGGATTGGTTCGGGGACGTATGTTCACCGAATGAATCAACACCGAAGGACCTGTTTGTGATCAACAAAAGTTACACCAGTCTTAGTGGATTGATTAATAGAATAACGTAATTAAAAAAAAAAAAAAAGGTTTACTTTTTAGAAGCACCATATTTTCTATATAAAGTAAGAGGGAGTCCCAAATTATCTTCGTGATAAACAAAAATTGTTTATTTAGTGATATTTTTGTAAATAAATCAATAAAATATCTCAGTCTGCATGGTATTTTTGTAAATAAATTAACACTTATAAAATTCGTATTTGATAAAAACTATTGAATTATTTATAAAAATGCCACTATTTAAACACTTTTTTTTTTTTTTTTTTTATCATGAAAATAAACTTATATTATCTCAAAATGACCCACTCTTTCACTAGTGAGGTCCACCAGTGCATCTTCCCACAAATCTTTTGACATTACAAATAAACTTTTTTGGCTCCAATGAGTTACTACAGATCACGTTGCTGACTTAATAATTCAATAATCCTTTTAAAAATGAATGAATGAAAAAAAAAAAAAAAAAAAAAAAAAAAAAAAAAAAAAAAAAACTTAATAAGTTGAATATAGTGTACTCACCGATCACATTAACCTTGGATTTGCAGGCGGCGGCGGTGACGGCAGCAGCAGCAGCCATGGCATGCTTCCAAATAAAGGCCGAAAGCGCTTCGATTCGAGTTGGATTATATACAAGCTCACTCTTTGCCATAGCCTGCAACTTAGCAATGGCTTCGGGAGTAAAAACTAAAGCTTTCAAAACACAAGTTTCATCATCCTCGTCCTCGTGATTACCTCTATCTAATGCTCGAGTCGTTAAGATCTTCGAACTCCTCTTAGAAGCCCAGGTACACGGAGGAAAGAGAGAGATTGCGGTGGCAAAATCCGGCTTAACAATCTTTTGATCTACCTGATGATTAGCAACAGCAGCCCAGGTGTTGAGAAAATTTCCCCAAGAAGCCCCATCAAAGGTTTTGTGAAGATATTGCGATCCGACGGCCACACCACCGCATCCAAAAACAGTGACTTGAATAGCTAGTGGTACTACCTCCGAGGCTGATGCTATTCTAGTATTAATGCCGGGGATAAATTGAAGATGGATTGCTTCAATAGTCGATCTTTTAGGCGCCAAATAGGTTTTCCAAGATCTTAACAATTCTCCTTAACAATTGTTCTATCACTACTTGCTCTCAAACTTTCATAGTATGAGTCGATCATTAGTTTGATCCCTCAATAGTTGGCATAATATTGGACATCACCTTTGTTTTTATACGAAAGTACTATAGTACTTTTCTTCCACTCTAAAAACTCTTATTACATCCCAAAATTTTGTTGAAAAAATTAATCAACCATTCAACTCCTCTTTCTCTCAAACATCTCCAAATTTCAATAGAAATACCATCAAGCCCAACCGCTTTCTTCGATCAACTCCATCCTTTTTAATTCCACTATGACTTCTTCTTTTTGAATTCTTCACATAAATCCCGATTAACCATATCACAAGACAAACCTGTCACTACTACATTTCTGATCTATTGCAACCCCCAAATCCGTTGCATTAGGCTTCAAAATCCGTGGCATTAGGCCTAATGCAACAGCCATGTATCGTGGCATCTGCTGGCGTTGCAATAGGTCTAATGCAACGACATATGACACCTAATGCCACGGCACCAATGATCCGTGGCAATAGACCAATACCTGTTGCAACGGCATAACTTATCCGTGGCAATAGAATACTGACTAATAATTATGATGAAATTGAACCTATTGCAACGGATGAAGCTAATTAATACAATGATAGGAGTACGTATCTACTGCAACGGATTGATATTTTATTTTTATTTTTTTGTTGGGATGGGATGGTAATATAATATATGTATAATTAGTCAGTACAAATTAAAATATGCTAACAGAAACAAATTAAAGTATCATTTATATATAATAATTATAATGCGAAATACGTACATTATTGCCCTTAAAGGGAAAAGTTACAAAATCAAATTTCACTAATTAAATTAATTGAGAAAACTACAACGACTACAATCTTTGAGAGGCAAGCGACCAACATTAGCAGATGAACAGCAACAGTAGAGACCAGCAACACAACAAGTTGTCCCAACATCAACAAGCTCAGCAGAACGACAGCAGCAGCCAAAACCAGGCATGCACAGCACCATGCAGAAAGCAGTACAGTAGCTGACAGTGCAGAACAACATCAGTAAAAGGAACAACAGCAGCATTAACCAGCCAAAACCAGAACAAGACAGCAATGGAAAGTAGGCAACAAACTAGAATCAAACAGGGAAAAGCAAGTCCAAACCAGGATGCCTTCTTCAACCCTACAACAGCTCAAAACAGCAGAGACAGGCAGAAAAAACAACAACAACAACCAGGCAGCCCAATTGAACCTACACGACAGCAGCCTGCACCTAACAGCCCCACAGGCAACCAAACAGAGACTAGCAAGCAGCTAGCAACACAGAACAACAGAAGCCAGCAGGCCTACAACCTGCATATATCAAAGAAACCCAAAAACCTTATAAAAACACAATCCAATTTCATCAAAATCAAAAAAGAAGATAAACATCCATCATTCCTCTTTTCTCATATATAATTCAATGAGAAATAAAAAGAAGTAAAAAAATACCCGGAGGATATAGTGGCTACAACAAACAATAAAGTCAAGATCAATAATAAAGGATAATTATTCACATGTTGCTACAGGTTAAAGTTAAAGCCGAAGAAGAATAGCAGCAGCTGCTGCCTAAAACGCATAAAGAGCAACGGTTTTTAAATTTAGTTTGGAATCAAGAGTAAAAACTAAGCAAGAACTCACAAGGGGTTAGTGATATACATATATAGAACAAACCTGCAATGCAATAAAAAAACAGTATTCATTCAAATTTGCAGTGTTACCGGTGAATATATGTCAATGACATCATCTATATCTTATTAAATTTCTTTCGGGGTACTTACAAATGAATAAGCAAGTGTCATATTTTCATGGAGTAGCTGAGGTGGAATTTTAAAAATAATATATAAAAATAATTAATTCATATATAGACATGTCTCTAAGGAGTAACTGATTTTCATTCTGTCGGACCTTTACTGGTAACTGATTTTCTGTCTCTATTTCGTATCCACATAATCACTACGCTTAAATGAGGCACATCCTATAACACCAAACAACATATAATACGGTATCTCTAATTCGCACTGTATAATGAGGGGTACTTATTAGAGGTAGGCATGGGCCGGGCTGGCATGAAAGTCAATCAAGTATGATAGTAAAATGGACTGACATAGTATGAGTCCGCCACAAGCCTTACCACAGTCACCACAGTTCGGAGGGTATGGATATTATTTTTAAAAGTTGACATGAACATGGCACAAACATGGTATGTCAACCTCCTTTAATAATCTAATTTACCAAACAGTATATAAAAATTACTGAAAGGATCTACTGACATAACACCCCCAAACGAATATTTCTTAACTTGTTTCAAGCACGGCGAACACGAGGCATGCTAGCACATTGGCCTATCTCATATCCAACATTAGAAGTTGTATACTAGCAGTTCCTCAAACCTTGTATAGAATCTTGTATAACTCACTAATTTGCTCTTTTTTGTGATTCTCTTGCACTGAACAAAAACTCTTGCCAAAATGAAGCACGGCCCAATACAACAAATACGTCCACCATCTGTGTAACATTCATAATTCCATACAAAAAAATCTGAACATCTAATCATAATAATTCACAAATTATAAACACCAAACAAGGGGAAGGAAAGAGAAAAAAATGAACTAAGACCATAGTATACAAGACCTAGAAACCAAATCTCCAAAAGAAAAAAAATTAGAAATCAGAAACTGAGGGAAACCTGAAAGCTAGAAGAAACAGTACAAAGGTCAAAGATCCAGCAAGTTTGAATTTTTTTTATAAAGGACTGAGATGCAGAACACCCCCTCAATTTCACTTTCTTAGGAGCCTTTATTTGATGCGCCATCAACTCCCATCCACCATATATTGCCTCTCACCTTGGAGGGCGGTTATACGATCAGACTTCATATATAGACATATAGTCATATCCTCGACCAAAATTGCTACTTAATAAATTCCACCTCAGCTAGAGCTAAAAGCTATTTATGTCAATTTTTAACTTAAAGCTATTTATGAGAATTCATATTTTATTTCATTAATGAAAAAAAAAAGCTAGAGGTAACATTCGCAAAAAATTTATCTAATGGATGGAAATTATGTTTCAGTGTTTACATGGAGACAAAATGAAAGATTAGGAGGGTGGTTTCAGTTATATAATTAGCTATTGATAGGTAATGATCCCATTAGTTTAGTAAAATAAAAATTGCTAAGGATGTTATATACACAAATGACAGGAGGTATTACCATAAAATACTAATTATGACACTAATATAATTGCAGCTATAAAATTTAGCTGATACAAATAAATGAATTATGCAAACTCTGCAATTGTGAATTACGGCAGCATAAATAATGAATATAATTATCATTCTCAAATTTCCATTAATATGACAATAACTTGAACCAACAGTAAACTCAAATTCATATAGACAGCAGTTATAATTACTGTGATTAAAACAGATAAAAAAAATCTGATTTGAGACGAGACAAGTGCCAAGTGATGAGTGTACAAACTAACATATATACACTTGTATTTCTGCTAAGAATTGCAACACGTCACAATGGCCATTATCAGAAAGTGCAAGAAGACAATAAAAATCATAGAACCATACAGAAATAACAATCAGCCCATGTAAGCTATTTCTAGTTCAAAGAAAATATTGTGATTGGAGACATTAGTAGCAATTGTCCCAACATGTAAGAAGATGATAATACAAGAAGCCTCAGGAAAAAGGACAGAAGTTTAATAAGCACCAGTTACTAGACATTATAACACCAACTATAGTAATCTATTGTCATTACCTATACCATAACATTTGCATTACCATAACCAACAAAACAACCAAAAGCACACTTATTTGCAAGTTAAAAATCAACCAATTTTCCAATAATCAAACCAAATCAGAAATTAAAGATAAAAGAAGGAACCTGGCAAGAACATAAAGGCGAGAATCCCAAACGAAAGAAATTAACCTGACAGTTCTCGAGGAATTAAATGTTTTACAAACGAAAGAAAGAGAGGTAGAAATGCAATAGAAATAGCGATTATACCTGACTCCATTGTTGAGCTACCAAGCGACCAAGAACACCAGGTCCAACAATTAGCAAATCACTCTCACCAACTACCACGGACGATGATGATGTTCCTGATTAACATTAAATAGTCAATTGATTGAAACTTTTTAAGTGTATAATTGTCGAAATTGGAACAATAATTGAAAGGGGAGAGAAAGTAGCGAGAAAGAGGAAAAAAGAGAGATAAAGATAGAAGGCTTACTCAAAGATCAGGGCACGAAGCTGGAATTTGAGCGACATTAGCTCAGAAACTCTCCACCACCGCCATCAATTACAAATCAAAACTCACCATCGTTGCTCTCCACCACCGCCAACAGTTACAAATCGAAACCCTAGAAATCGAAAAAAATCAAATTTTTGAATGAATTTTTTCGTGATTTTCACCTCAAAATCGGCCTCAGAATTTTTGTTTTACCTTGCTTATTTATGTGAGATGATGATGGGGAAACTAGAGAATTGGGGGAAATTGAGAAAATGGAGAATTGGGGGAAATTGAGGAAATGGAGAAATAGGGTGAGAATGGGTACTGTGAGAATGAGTGGAGAAAATGGGTGAGAAAAGTAAAAATGTGTTTGTTCAAAATTTTGGTGAAAAAATTAGAGGAAACAATGCGCGCTTCAACCTAGCTAAAATTTTCATTATACAACACTACCGTTGCATTAGCTTTCATTTTTGTTAAAATATCTAGGCTATTGCAACGGTTCTTTAGAGCCGTGGAAATAGCTCTACCTCTAAGAGCATTAGTTTTATATCCGTGGCAATAGCCTACTCTATTGCAACGACAATAAAAATACCGTTGCAATAGGCTATCTATTGCCACGACATTTGGATAAGGCGTTGCAATAGCTCATTTTTTGGCGTTGTATTTGATCGAAAATGTAGTAGTGTGTATTTGATTCGGGGAAATCGAGGCTATTGCCCACGGCCCGATCAGAAGGACCAAATTCATGCGTAATTCAAAGTAGTAATGAGTGGATGCTAGAAAATTATCTTATTAGGCGTGATTTCAAGTACAAATTCCCTTTAAACCTGCAAAAAGGGGCGTGATCAAGCAATAACAATCAATTATGAATAATTAAGCAACATATAATTGACACAACAATCATCATCATAATCAAAATCATCAAAACATCACTAGTAAGATTCTAGTCATGATACTAAACGGATTAATAACAAATCCTAGCATGTCACTAATAATCAAAGCTTTAGCCTAAACATGATACTAGAAACATGACATTAGAAATATTAGTTAACACCCAAAACATGATATTAGGAATCAAAATCAACATCCTAACATGGCACTAGAAATCATAGAAGCATCTCAACATGATACTAGGAATTAAAATAATATTCTAAGCATGATTTCAATATCAAAAGAATAATTAAGTAATCAAATTACTTACTTTGATGTCTCGTATTTCTTCCTATAAAAACAATACACACGTTAGTAAACTTCAAGAAAGATTAAATCAAATAAATAAATCAAATATGAATAGAAAAATAGATTTGGGACTAAACCCTCAGAATTATCAACATTTCACGTCGAGGTCGAAGGCAAATTCAAGGAGGGCAAGGAGTATTCAAATCTCGTGAAGGAAGTATGGTGTTTGATTTGGGAGAGTATCAAGGATGTGTTTAGGCTAGGTTAGAACATGGAAAATTATTAGAGAGAGAATATTAGAGAGGGTATTGATGATGATTGTTAGTGATCAAACTTGTTGATGATTGAAAACGGGGTGAAACGACCTCTATTAATAGGGAAAAAAAAGAGGGTCGAAGGATTAGAAAAGAGTCAGAATTTGAATCGGAATAAAACTCTTTTTATCGCGGCGCGCCAAGTCCATCGCGGTGCGATAGTGCTGTCACGGTGCGATGGTCCTACAGTTTTGCGATTTTTGTTTTTATCAAAACTTTTGATCAAGAAATTGGAATAAGATAAATAATATATAGTTGGAAAGCTCCGGAAGTCTACTTTACAACTCAATTAGAATCAGATTTATATCTTTTGTAGAATTTAAGATATGATCAAAATAGTGAAATAGTGTCAATTTTGGATAAAGTTTGGTATTTCGATCATATCTTTTTCGTTTCCAATCGGAATTGTGATTATGATATATCATTGGAAAGGTAATTTCAAGATCTATCCAATCATCTAAGATTTAGATAAAAATTATGAGTCATGAAAATCATATCCAAACATCTTTGAATTTGAACGGGATTAGGATTATCAAAAGAGAAGTTTTATTCAATCTCAAACTCTTTGATCTTTATCTTTTCAAAAGGATATATTAGAACCTTCTAGAGACTTCTAGAAGTTCCTAATGAATCCTAATTGGTTTAGGATTGGAAATAAGGTATTGGACCCTCCTCATGATCATTGGGTCGTAGGTAAGATGGACCTAAGTCCGGTTTGGGCTTGGTTTACTATTTTGGCTATAACTTATTCGTTTTAAGTCGGATTTGATCTTATAATATATCGTTGGAAAACTCTTTTCAAACCCCATCCAACTAAACAATAATTGGACCAGGATTATGGATCAAAATAATCTGGTTTGGACGTTTTTATGGATTGGACACAAAATGAATGATTTTAAGGACGCGAAATGAATGATTTTGGGTTTAAAGACACGAAATAAATGATTTTGAATTAAAACATTTTAGGTAAGGTTAGAAATAAGTTCAAGGCTAAAGGAAATTCACGAGACTCTTCAACTTTTTACCGAACTCGTAAATTAAAACGTGAAAGGTACTCATCACTGGGTTTGGTTTTTAGGGAGACACAATCAGGTGTCTACAGAAGCCCCCACTTTGACTGAGTTTGGAGAAACGTAAGTCGAAAACAAAAGTCAAAGTAGATCTAAAGGGATGAAGAATGATTCAGAACGTTCTGCAATTCTAAATCATCATTTTTAACGCCGATACCTACAGAAAGCGACAGTTCTACAAATAAAGGCGAGTTAGAAATGCATATCTGGGTTTTTCCGAGCACACGCCTCTGGGTAAAATCAATTTTGCCATCGAAAATTGCAGTGCTTCGCTATCTTCAAATCCAAGCGACAAACGTTGTTGAATATTGTAGTGCTTCGCCATCAAAGGGGAACAACCTCCACATCCTAGGGCATGTTTTCAAAGACCACTACTCCTTGAACCGTCTTCAAATCAAAGGGGGACAACCTCCACATCCTAGGGAATATTGTTTATGTCCACTCGTCTCTGAACAAAAGAGTTTCGGATGAAATGTTCACTCGTCATTAAACAAGGGAGCTTTAGAAGGGATTTTCCACGTGCCTCTAAACAAAAGAGCTTTGAAAAGGATGCCCACGAGTCTCGCTTTGAGAAAAAGAGCTTTGAAAATAAATGTCCACGCGTCTCTGAACAAGAGTTTACTCAAGGAATGTTCACTCGTCTCTGAACAAGAGCTTACTTAAGGAATGTTCACTCGTCTCTAAACAAGAGCTTGAAATGAAATTACCACGCGTCTCTGAACAAAAGAGCTTTGAAAAGGATGCGAGTGTTCGACTGGCTGTGAACAGGAGCTTCAATGATTTGGTGAGATTGCTCGATTGACTCCGAACAAAAGCTTCGATGAATAGGTATATCCTGTAAAATCAAATATTGCAAAAGGACTTTGCTAGTGGTTTTCTTAGGGTTGACCCAAGACTTGGTGTACTCGACTCATTGTGGTTGGTTGGCTTAAGGTTGAGTCAAGGCTTGGTGTGCTTAACTCAATATTTGACTCAATGTACTCAATTCGGCTCGATTTGTTTTAACACGTGTGTTTAGACTCAACTCGATCTGGTGACACGACATGACTCAATGTGCATGGTTTATGTGTGCATTGTGTGGTGATTGTGCTCGTGTACTCGAAAATGCAGAAAAAACAAAAAAAAAATCCACCATTTTTGTGGAGGGTACTGACTTTCTCCCGAAAAGAAAGACATGAAAATGAAAAAGAGGGGTGAAGTTTTTGTGAAAAACAAATTTTTGAACTTCCTTAAAGGAAAAGAATGAATCGAGTAATGATGTATGTTGAATGAGCTTAATCATGTGTATGTATTAATCGTTGTATCTCATGGTGCAAAGATTGATGATTTGATAATGAAAGTATTTGGGTAACTTCGGCGCGGAGGCTAAGTACCTCGTACTTTGTGATGTGATGATGATTATGATAATGAATGATTCTAATATGACAAGGCATGCTTCAAAGTCATATCAAGATTTCATGACAAAGGGTTCCTAAGGGAAGGATTATTTGGTTGTATTTGTGATGTGTGTGAGAGTGACACTAAGGTTAGGCTTCAAAGGCTAAGGGTGTGGAGAAAATATTTTGAGAAGAGTCAAATGATAGTGACTCTTAGGCTGGGTTGGCTAATGAAGTAGGGATCAAGCCCCCAAGTCTAGCTCTAAATGGATAAGGGATGAGCGTTGGAGATCCCTTGATATGATCATGCATGAATATGTGATGAATAATTATTACAGCCGCACCCCAATGTGAGGTTGCATCCGTATCTGTTAGGAATCAGGCCGAACGTAGCTCTAGCCAAACCTCGCACAAGTGTGTGTACACCTCAAGGAGGTCTTTCAAGGGTTGTAAAGGGGTTAGGCTAAAGGTTAAAGAAGAAAGAATAAAGGCTCAAGACCCAAAATAAGCCCCAGGGTGTGCAACCTTGATTTTAAATCTAAGTAGTTGTATGCTTGAGGTTTCTCATTTTTGAATTTATTTTCACTTGTTTTTTTGTGTTTGAGATTTGTATTTGAATCCTCTTTAGATAAGTGTGGGCAATTCCGATCATGCGGTCTATCACTCACTTGTCATTCATGTTTCTCAGGCATGGTACCGATAAGAGACGCAATCCGAGATATGTTCAAATCAAAGACATTGGAACACTTGCCCTTTTGTACACTTTTATTGCTATTTGCACTTTTAAAACTTTCTTTGGTAAAAATCACTCAAGCTTTTGGCTTTGAAAATTGCATAAGTTGCACACCATCCCATCCCAAGGTTAGGTAAATATGAGTTGAAAAAATGAAGGTCTATCGTTTGACGAGGCTCAAAGTGGTTTCTCAAGAAAGGATCATGTATTTGAAGGGGCAAAGGTGATATGATGTGGCTACAAAGGATGTCTCAAATCATTGGTATACCTTGTGTTTAGTTCGGCGTGAATTTTTTTTTTTTTTTTTTTTTTTTTTGTGCAATGCAATGATCATATGCAAGGAAATAAATGCTCATTTTATTAAGAATGGAAAGGGTAAAATAAAACTCATGAAGTAAATCTGAAGAAAATGATATAGGGTGCCTATACTAGACTCATTGGGGAAGGGAAAAACAAGAATAAGAAAAGAATCATGAAATCTTGCCGTTGAAACCCGCCTTCATGTTTTGTGTTTTATCTTTGTCAATCACATGACTCAAACTCAATTCAACATGCATAGATGGGGAAAGATCATAGTGTATAAGGGGAATGATATAGGAAAGCATGAAAGAAAAAAGTATGTGAATGTGGAAAGTGTTTAAGAGAGAAAGTGTAATGTATGGAAAGTATATGGGAAGGTATATGTGAATGTGGAAAAATATGGAAATTTGTGGGAATAAGATGAACCCTCAACTCAAATGACGGAAAGAAGACTCATGCATAGACCTAAGACATGGTCATGATGTGAAGAAAGTATGTACAAAGTGTGCGCAAAAGCTCGTGGGTGTAA